CTGGCCCAGTCAGAGGCAGAACTGGGATTTCTTTCTGGTGTTTCCCAGGGGGTGGGTTCTTTTTTTTTTATAATTCCTTGTCTGTTTGTTTTAAATGTGTGTTGATTCCTGTCTGTCCATAACGAGTCCCTGTGTTACCGGGGCCAGTCCCCTGCCATCAATGCAGAGCTATTTGCACTATAGTAATACACACAATTGCACATAACCAATTAATATTTATGGCAAGGGTGCTGATTCCCTTCTGGTGATTGCATTGTCAGGGGTTGGGTTTTATTTTTGGGTTGGGTTTTGGTTTTGTTCCTGTGACTGACTCATTCTTTCCTGTTCCTTTTATATTTTTTTTTTTAATCCCCTTTGCCTAATGTTGTTGTTCAAGATGATGGTGCATCATGTTACTAAGAATTTCCCTGGATCTTGGTGTGTGGGTTGTTTGTTTTTTTTTTTTAATTAGTAAGCAGCCAGCAGGTGAATGGCATCCCTGGACCACGTTGGAGCTGCTGCCATGGAGAGTTTGCTCCCAGGCACCTTCCTCTGGACAGTGTCTGTGCAAGGAAAGGGTGTGTGTGGGGGGTGGGTTTTGGTGGGACAGGGCCTGCAGCCACCAGGGAAGTCTAGAGAAGGGGCTGGAGCACAAGTGTGAGCAGGAGCAGCTGAGGGAGCTGGGGGTGTCCAGCCTGGAGACAAGGAGCTGAGGGGAGACCTGCTGGCTCTGCAGCTGCTGAGAGGAGGTTGGAGCCAGGGGGGTTGGGCTCTGCTCCCCAGGAACAAGGGATGGGACAAGAGGAAATGGCCTCAAGTTGTGCCAGGGGAGGTTGAGATGGGATCTGGGGAACAATTCCTTCCCCAAAAGGAAGCCCTGCCCAGGCTGCCCAGGACAGGGGTGGTGTCCCCATCCCTGGAGGGGTTTGAGAGCCCTGTAGATGTCGTGCCGAGGGACATGGGGCAGTGGTGGCCTTGGCAGGGCTTGGTACAACAGTTAGACTTGATGAACTTTCCCAACCAAAATGATTCTGAAATGCTGGGACTCCCAGTAGCTGGCTTGGTCGTTGTGTTTGGTTTTTTGGCAGGGGAGTTATGGCAGGAGGCAGCAGAGCTTGGGCTGGGGAGCAGTGGGAGAGCAGAAAGGTTGCAGGAGGGTGAGATGCTAAATTGCCACAGACTGGCAACCAAGCATAGTGGTCCCAGGCAGGACAGCCAAAACCCCCAGCACGTGTCCCGGGGTGGGGGGAGGTCCTGGTGACCCCCTACAAGACTTGGTCTTGGGGAGGAGGTGGCACAGCAGCAGGGTGACCCTTGCAGTGCCCATGACCTCCACGGCAGGGGCAGGGGGGTCTGGGGCCAGGCTGCAGCAGCCCAGGGCAGCAGGCAGGACTGGGATTGCCCACCAGACAGACAGACTCTGCTGCCCAGGGGTCAGTTATTGCTGACAGCAGCACTCTGAGGGGAGAAGCAACACAAGTCCCAGGCAGCTGCTTCTCCCCTCTGGCTGCACAGTGGCTGGTATTCCCATCATAAAAATATTTATTTTTTTTTCCCCCCAGTGGTTGTTTCCTGATCTCCACTGGAGTCAGAGAGCAGCTCCAGCCCTGGTGGGCTTGGGCTGCCCAGCCTGTGCCTTGGGGAAAGGATCTGGGGCCAGGGGTTGGTGTCCTCCAGAACATGACTTCTGGAAGGGCTCAGTCCAGGCTGCACAGTGGCTGGTATTCCCATCATAAAAATATTTATTTTTTTTTCCCCCCAGTGGTTGTTTCCTGATCTCCACTGGAGTCAGAGAGCAGCTCCAGCCCTGGTGGGCTTGGGCTGCCCAGCCTGTGCCTTGGGGAAAGGATCTGGGGCCAGGGGTTGGTGTCCTCCAGAACATGACTTCTGGAAGGGCTCAGTCCAGCCTAGAAAAGCCCAGGAGCAGAGGGGAACTTTGTGTGCCAGGTCCCTCCTGGAGCAGAAGTGGAGCAGGTGTCCCCATCCCATCTCCCACAGGCAGCCACAACCACCCTCTTGTAGCTCCTCATCAGATACGGGGAGACCTTGAACTTGTCTTTTGTCAGAGCACCATCAGTTGGGGGCTGCCTCTGGTACCCTCATTCCTGCAGCTTCACCCACCTACACCCTGGCTCTGAACCACAGCCAGGGTGCTCAGCCCCACATCACCCCCACACTCCCAACCATACCCCAGGGTGATGAGCACCCTGGGGCCAAGGATGCTCCAAGGATGCAGGAGATGGTCCAAGCCCTTTTCCACCACAACTGCTCGGCCAGGACTCAGCTCCCAGCACCCCCACCGCTGCACAGGGATGCCCCAACTCCCCAGCAGAGCACGCTGCTGCCCCCCCTCCTGCAAACACACCCTCCCAGCCCACAAGCTCCTCTCCACGGGCAGTTTCAGCGCTTTATTGTGTGGCCGTCCTGCTGCAGCACCTCGCTGTCCTCCTCCCCGTGGCCACGGGGTGGATCTGCTCCCTCCTCCCCAGCACGGCACCGCAATGTCCCTGGAAGCTGGAGGCCACAGGAGCTGCAGAGGTCCAAGAACTGGCACTTAAGGAATCCTGGCCGGGGCCACAGGCTGCTCCTCCAGGCCGGGAGCAGGGCAGGGGCTGGGCATGGCTGTGGTCCCGCGGGGCTGGCAGCCTGGCTCCCTTCATCTCAGTCATCTTTTAAAAACATGGCTCTGAAACCCCCCAGCAGGGCTGGGGGCTGGACCAGATGCTCTCAGCTTTGCTTCTCTTACAAAAGGAAAAAAAAAAACAAAACAGCC